GGCAGAGGATACTGCCAAGGAAGGAGAAGAGAAGCTCGGCGAGACCGAGGTCCAAGCCGGCGAGACTGCCGAGGGTGCCAAGGGCGCCGCGGCGGATGCCAGCGAGCAGGCCGGTGAGGCGGCCGAAGACGTGGCTGATCAAATCGACTTTTCCATCCTCAAGGGAGGTAAGGTCAACAAGTGCGGCAACATCGTTAACGGCGACGGCGAAGTGGTCGACCGCATCAAGGAGGGCGTCCCGGGGCACCTCGTGGGCAAGCGCGTGGACGAGACGGGCGCCATCTGGAACGACAGTGGCGCCGTCATCAGCCGCGCCGAGCCCATCCCCGAGAACGAGCTCGAGTCCATGACAGAGTCGGCCCCCTTCGAGGCCTTCCCCGACGCCGTGGTCAACTCCAGGGGCATGGTCGTCTTCGAGGGCGAGGAGATCGGCAAGGTCGTCGAAGGCGACGCCAAGAAGCTGCGCGGTATGAAGGTCGGCCCCGACGGCGACATCCTGGACCGCGGCGGCAACGTGGTCCGCAAGGCCGAGCGCTGGAAGCTCGAGCCGAGCCCGAGCCCGAGCCCGAGCCGAGGTTGACCGGCCCATCCTGGCCGGCAAGTGGGTCAACAGGCGGGCAACGCCGTGGACGGTAGCGGCACCATCTTCGGCAAAGTGGTCGAGGGCGACGCCAAACGCATGGTGGGCTGCATGTGCGACGAGATGGGCAACGTCCTCAGCGAGAGTCAGCTCCTCCTCTCCACAATAGAATGTGAAGCAACTGTAACAAGCTGCCATAATCTAGAGAATAATTTCTTTAGGTTGAACATAAGAAATCAAAAGGGAACTGCGCGAAATCTTGATGCAGATCCTGACCATTCGACATCCTTCGCTTTTTTCGTCTATTTTGTCGTTACATTTTCATTATGTTTCAGCATACCAGTACACCCGTTCAGAACAAACGCTAAGCCGCAAAAGTACGCCACCCCAACCTCGTACAATAACATCTAAGCGCACGCAAACGCAGCAAATTTAAATTTTGGGCATTTAGTTCCAACGCTTCCAAATTGCCAAATCCAAATTGCGTTCCTCAAGGCTCTTGGGCAAACCGCTTGCAGTTTGCATCTCCTGTAATCCCCTTGCGTCGCCTGTAAGAACCACCCGCTAAAATCCACACTAACTGGTGGAATTCCACATGTTAATGTGGGCACTCCTTTGCAGCTTCTTCGGCAGGTTTCGTTTCAGTTAAAGATCAGACACGACGTCGAATCGTTCGAAATGGAATAAAAGCGCTAACACGACAGAGCCCACGAGCTATAAAACAGGTCCACAACCGTAATCACCCTAAATGGAACAGGTCTGCGCGGCTGGCGATCCGGCGCTGCCGCGACTGCTAACGTAAATCCGCCAGGCATATAATACCAGACCGATATGGACCTGCAGGCGGATCCCCCAGTTCCAGGGACGGCGGACTGTGGTTCGCTCCCGAAGGCAGGACCGAACTGGAACTCGAAACGGCTTATCGCGCGAGTAGTGGTATTATTAGCGGCGTCAGCATCGCCGGCAGCAGTTTAATACCACTCTCATTGTCATGCACTTTCATTGTCATGGCTGCCACAGCCTGCGTCGGTTTCTGGGGACATGGGGGATGGCCTTGCACAGACGAGTGCGGGCAGTTCCGCTGCTCCGGGCGGTGGCGGCAATTCGGCTGGTCGAGTACTAACTACGCCGAAGTGCGCGAGCCCATATTATCGGGGACGATCAATAACCAGGGCGGCTTGTTGTCGGACGGCTAGCGGCTCCGACGTTTCGCTGATTGCGAGCAAAATTGTTTTGCTCTTTACGCTTCCCTTGCTTTCAAGTCGACCACGCTTTCCCTGCCGTTTGTCGACGCGCAGCTACGAAACAGTAGCATAGCATACGCGGTATGCAACGCCGTTAAAGGCAGCCCCACGCCATTCGTGCTCGTCGCCCGCCATCCAGCTGTACGCACCCGTCTATACCAATGGCAAATCCCGCATATCCCGGCTCGTCGAAGCCATCGCCAGACGACCAATCGGCTGCCTCACGCCCTCGATCGATGCGGCCCTCAGACCCGCTCGAAAGCCGCACCCTTCGCATAGCATATTGCCATAGAAACCCCAGCGCGGCCGTCGCAACCAACAAAACCGACACCCATATGGCAACCTTTTTTGGCTGCAGGGTGATTACACCTTGACGCAACTGGACATCCAATCAGAATCCCTAGTTTTCGCTCTATGAGTTACACCTGTGTGGTTAGTAATTGGGGCTGCGCCCCGCAAAGGCGGCCCGAGTTCTAGCTTGTGGTTAGTATGTCGCGTAAGGTTGGAGTCGGTCGAGATCGAGTTTGGATGGGTGGCTTGCATTTGTACTTGCACGCTATGCATGTCAGGATAAGGTTGGTGCTGCAAGCGTGGTTGGACTGTCGATTTTCGCCGGCGTGAGGCGGCAGCGATCGTAAGGCTCTGGGCACGTCAATCTGCGGCAAAATAGCCAGCCCCTGCCCCAGCACCATTTTTTGGAGAAGCATCCACTCGATGGGAAATACTCAAGGGGCAGAGGTGAAAATTTATTTAGTCGGCCGAGTTGCGTACCCAGATACCCATCGGCAAGCGCTTCGAGTTAAGGGCAGTTTGGCTTGAGAAATAGTGTAATGGCTATTAAGCCATTCTTGGAGCAGGAGCAACAATGGTTGTATTGACGTTCTTGTCGTCCTAAGCAAAAATACCCTTGCCACACGGAGGCGCCCAATGGGAGCACGTGACCCATACGTGCCTAACGACCCCCGTACAAAAGGGGCACGGGCCACCCTGACGGCCTATTCATACCCCTCCCGCTCTTGAGGGCCTT